GTCATCGCCGTCATGTGTGAGAATGTAAGTACGAGAGGGGCCTCGTTTCACACGTCCCCATGCCGTCTTGCAACGCTTTGCCATAGCATGTCGGATTTGGGATGCCGGATTTGGATTGCCGACCACCAATCAATCTGCATCATCAACCCTTTGTTGTGGTATGCATGATGGCATGGCATGGTCGAGGGTCGTTTGGTTCCATCTCTTGAGTTTTGTTAATATCTGTTGCGAATTCGGCCACTCCGAAACCGTTTCGTAGTGTGTATGCAACCCCGTCATCCCCGCCCGAATCCCCTGATCACTCGCTGCAACAACACCTGCCGGGTCTGGGCCGCCACCGTCATTTTCACCATCAGCATCACCGTCGACGTGGAAGACATGCCATTTTGATCGCCGTCGGCGTCTTGCCGTCGGCGTTTTGACGTCACGGGGTGTCGTACCACCGGTGAGTCTAAGCTATACTTAAATGCATGCCTTGTCTGTTCTGTGCATTTCCTTGTTGACGTTGCCTTATGTACGTCATTGTACAATTTTGCAGTGCGTCACGTCTTGTTTGTTAGTTTGTTGTAAAGCACTGTCTGTTGTGGTTTTTTGTTGTTGTGCCGCATGCGACGTCGGCGTCTCGCCCTGGACGTCTCGCCCTGGACGTCTCGCCCTGGACGTCTCGCCCTGGACGTCTCGCCCTGGACGTCTCACTGTCGGTGTCTTGCCGTTGGCATCTTGCCGTCGCCTTCTCGCCATCGTTGGCATCTTTTAGTTCTTGTCGTGAATTTCCCTCCCCGGCCGCCGCTGCGGCTCTTCTCCTCTGGGCTTGCTGCCACCGCGACCTTTTTGCGGTGCATTTCCCTCCCCGGCCGCCACTGCGGCTCTTCTCCTCTGGGCTTGCTGCCACCGCGACCTTTTTGCGGTGCATTTCCCTCCCCGGCCGCCACTGCGGCTCTTCTCCTCTGGGCTTGCTGCCACCGCGACCTTTTTGCGGTGCATTTCCCTCCCCGGCCGCCGCTGCGGCTCTTCTCCTCTGGGCTTGCTGCCACCGCGACCTTTTTGCGGTGCATTTCCCTCCCCGGCCGCCGCTGCGGCTCTTCTCCTCTGGGCTTGCTGCCACCGCGACCTTTTTGCGGTGCATTTCCCTCCCCGGCCGCCGCTGCGGCTCTTCTCCTCTGGGCTTGCTGCCACCGCGACCTTTTTGCGGTGCATTTCCCTCCCCGGCCGCCGCTGCGGCTCTTCTCCTCTGGGCTTGCTGCCACCGCGACCTTTTTGCGGTGCATTTCCCTCCCCGGCCGCCGCTGCGGCTCTTCTCCTCTGGGCTTGCTGCCACCGCGACCTTTTTGCGGTGCATTTCCCTCCCCGGCCGCCGCTGCGGCTCTTCTCCTCTGGGCTTGCTGCCACCGCGACCTTTTTGCGGTGCATTTCCCTGCCCGGCCGCCGCTGCGGCTCTTCTCCTCTGGGCTTGCTGCCACCGCGACCTTTTTGCGGTGCATTTCCCTGCCCGGCCGCCGCTGCGGCTCTTCTCCTCTGGGCTTGCTGCCACCGCGACCTTTTTGCGGTGCATTTCCCTCCCCGGCCGCCGCTGCGGCTCTTCTCCTCTGGGCTTGCTGCCACCGCGACCTTTTTGCGGTGCATTTCCCTCCCCTGCCGCCGCTGCGGCTCTTCACCTCTGGCATTGCTGCCACCGCGGCTTTTTCCTCTCATCACCCTTCTGCTTTCAAACCTACCATGCACAAAAGAAAGATGAAAAGGGAGACATCCTTGCTCAAACCACGACATTCGTTGCAAAGCAGGAAAACAAGGGAGTCCAAAGATATGGAGGATCGGTCGAGAAATATGGTTGTCATGGTGGAAGTTGTCCGTTGGAGATATGTTTGGTTGGAAGAGGTTGGCAGATGTTGATCCAGTTGGTGGACAGTTGGTGGACAGTTGGTGGTTGGTGGTGACCGGCCGGTTTTATTGTCGTCGCTGGGTTTTGTGGATGGTAGCTAGCGTTATCTAACCAGCCAGCAGCTGCAGCCAGTTATATTGCCTAAATGGGCTACGCTACGCAGCTAGCAGCCAGCAGCCAACAACCAGCATCAGCGAGTGTGCGCGTGTCACGGCTGTTGCCGCGCGTGTACAGTCTGTCGTGTTTTCGTTTGTGGTGCCCACAGCCCTGGTTGTGCACAATTGATTTTCATTTGTTTGGGGATTACCTAATTAAGGGGAGACTACACCTTATTAAATAATAGATGAATAAATAAAGCTGAACCATGATATCTATTTCCGCTTTATTTATTTACTTATTTATTTACTCTGTTTTGAATATCTTATTATAGTTTAGTAATGCGCCTCAGCCTAATAAGCTAAGGCGTGCATTAGGGTGCCGGGGTTGTAGAGGTTATGGGTTTTCCCAGGCCTTTGCACCTCCTGTCACCGTATTTTTACTTTTTTCATTATGTAGTCAGCAGCAGCAGCAGCAGCAGCAGCCGGCAGATCAGCAAGCAGCTGCAGCAGTGGCCATGGCCCGGGCCCTTTATCGCCAGGGTTTGCGGCAGCTTCCCTGGTGCCAGGACCCGAATGCAGGGTCGACTGGCTGCCGGGACTCGGGGCGTACGAGTCGTCCGGCCTGCCGGCACCCGCACGCAGGGGCCGGCCGTACTTTTATAACGCCCGTCTCAGGTGGGTGGATGGGTGGGTGGGCGACGTGGGTGTGGGTGTGGTGCGTACTTCGTGACTTGGGTTCAACTAGTGGTCGCGGAAAAAGGCCGCAGGGCCGCAGCGCACGTGTCGCAACGAGGCCTTGTGACTTTTGGGCAAAATAATGACATTTGGTGTTTTACCCCCTCCCCCCCGTGTATGCTGCCCCCTTACCTATCCCCTCTGGCCGTTTCCCCCTTTATCACGCACCTCCTCTTCAGGTGCGGCTGGGGCATCAACCTGTGCGCCCCAGTGGCACCGAGCGGGCGTTGCTGATGATGGGCCCGGCTGAGGTGGGTGCGGATGGGCTTGGGGTTTTGGTGCATGGGTTGTGCATGGTGGGGACCAGCAGCGGCACCCTTGCTTGCATCTGTCACCTAATTGTGTGTGTGTTAGTTGTGTCGTACTGCTAACCGTATTTTGGCCTCCCGCGCCCTTCCCCCGCCTTGTCCCTTTTCCTTCAGGTGCACTGCTGGGTGCAATTCCTCCGCACCCAGCTGCACCCAGCCGGGCGCCGCCGCTGCTGGCCAGTTGGCTAGCGGCGGCGGCAACGTTGGCGGCGGCATATAGACGCATCATCATCATGATCATGATCATCATCGTCATCATCATCATCATCATCATCATCATCAGTTGCCGCCATTCTTGTTGGCTTGATAACTTGTTGGCTGCATGCAGCGCCAACTACGAGCAATGACCGAACGAATGGTGTCGTACAATCAACGGCCATAACGACCATATAACGGTTAATAATATAATATCAATAAATGGCGAATACAGCAGCTCTGTAAACGATCGAGTGATCAACGTTAATAATGACCAACGGTTTCGGTTGGATGGTCAAATGGAATCAATGCAGCACGAGGACTTGCGCAGCTGAACTTCCAGTAATGGGCCCATGCAAAATGATCTGGGAGGTACCTGGGCGGATGTTGTCGGGGCCTGGGGTGGCCGGGCGCAACTCGGTTTGGGGTTTTGCCTAGCACAATGCGATTTGGGGGCATGGCCTGGCATGATGCGATTTGGGGGGCATGGCCCGGCATGATGCGATTTGGGGGACATGGCCTGGCATGATGTGATTGGGGGCCCATGGCCTGGCATGATGTGATTTGGGGGGCATGGCCTGGCATGATGTGATTTGGGGGGCATGGCCTGGCATGATGTGATTGGGGGCCATGGCCTGGCATGATGTGATTGGGGGCCATGGCCTGGCATGATGTGATTGGGGGGCATGGCCTGGCATGATGTGATTGGGGGGCATGGCCTGGCATGATGTGATTGGGGGGCATGGCCTGGCATGATGTGATTGGGGGGCATGGCCTGGCATGATGTGATTGGGGGGCATGGCCTGGCATGATGTGATTGGGGGGCATGGCCTGGCATGATGTGATTGGGGGGCATGGCCTGGCATCATGATATGGTTTAGGTTGAATTATTTCCTTAGTTAACCGTGCGGAGAGAAAGGATTTTGCACTCTGCGGTATGCCAGTGTTGTGATGCGCTTCCTGTGTTTGTTCTATTGTGCGTTCTGTAGTATGCATGTGTGTTGAGTAGTGTGCAAGTGTGTGTATGAGGTGTATGTATGTTTGTGTGCACATTTTTGCGTCAAACATGTATCCGTTCAGTTTTGCATGAGGAGGCTTTGCAACTGTATTGTTCCCGTCGAATCTTCACCGTCACCATCTTCTTCTTACCGTCGACGTTTTGCCGTCGCCATCACCTTCATCCCGTCGAATCTTCACCGTCACCACCTTCTTCTTACCGCCGACGTTTTGCCGTCGCCATCACCTTCATCCCGTCGAATCTTCACCGTCACCACCTTCTTCTTACTGTCAGCGTTTTGCCGTCGCCATCACCTTCTCCACGTCGAATCTTCACCGTCACCATCTCTTCTACCGTCGACGTT